GGGGGGGGTCAGGCGGGGGCGGGATGATTGAGTAGTATGAGGATGCTACTTAGAGCATTTGTGTTGGGGACAGCGCGTTTGGCCGGTGTGGCCCCCAAAGTGGTGTGCAGTGTAATATTAGGGCTTGGTTTGTGTTAACGTTTTGCGTGGAATGTCAGTGTGACATGCAGATGGCCGGTGGGTTGTGTTTTATGCTCAGGGTATTAACTTTTTGTGTGGCTGCCCAAGGTCCCTGGGCCCTGAAAAGATAGAGGGGTGGAAGGGCAGCTCTCTTCTGGGTGCTCTCAGAGCTCTCCATCCCCATCCCTTTATTTCACTAGATCCTAACATGCCTGAGCCTCTTGGCGCAGTTGAAGCTCAGAAAACCTGGCAGAGCGGACAGCCCTGGTCTGGGGTCCTGTTGAGTTCGGAGCTTTTATTTCTCAGCTCACCACCCACCTTCTTTGCCATAGGGACCCAGGGACGTATGGACAGTTCCCAAGCCCCTTGGCTGATCCCTTCCGTGCCCAGGTCCGCGCTCCCAACAAAGGCGGCCGACCACGTGCCCCCTCCTCGACGCCCGCCTGGAGTGGCGACACACGCGGCCCCAAGCTCCGGTTCCATCCGCTGCTAGATCCGGACGCTGCGCTGCGCACCAAGTGGGCGCGCAGCAGCCCCCCGCAGCCCGGCCGCCCCCGGCTGTGCCTCGCCCATTCCCAGCCGCAGCCGCTGCAGTGCCCGGGAAGCAGCGCTAGGGGGAGCTCTAGCAACTGGCTTGGTGGATTGAATCAAAACCAGGCATCCAACAGCGAGCGATTCCTTGGATTTGCAGGGGAAAAAATGGGGAGGGGGGAGACACACCGTCCCCCCTCCTTGGCAGCTCCCGACTCTTCCCGTGGGAGGCCGAGAAAACAGCCCTGGGGGTTGAAGGTGTCTTTCCTTCCCGTAACTCACGCCTCCATAGCCTCCCTTTTCCTCCACCCCCAGTGCAGACCTTCGCGGCCCCCTGCGCTCTGGAGTGTCCCTGAGAACTTCGCCTCGCGCGACACCGGGACCTAGAGCCGAGCGGACCCCTGGGACTGGCTTGTGTCCGCCTTTCAGAGTCTGGGGCGCGAGCCTTTGGGCAGCAGCCCCTCCTTTTGCTGCCGGAGGCGTGAAGGCTCGGGGGGGGGGGGGGCGTGCGTCAACCTGCGGGGTGGATGGTGCAGGGAGGGAGAGCGCAGGGGCGAGAAAGCGAGAGCACTGGGGAGACAGCCAGAGACAGAGAGACACCGCGAGAGAGATACTATCAAACAAACAGAGCAAGCAGCCACTTTGCTTTTTTCCCCCTCTCCTGTCTTTCTTTCCTATCCCCTCTTTGCAAAGCTGGAACCACCCCACGCGCCCCCGGACCCGAGCCGCGGCTCCAGATGTGAATTTGGTTCCAGTGGGGAGAATGCGAGCTTCCTCGGGGCCTTGGCACATTCTCCCACTCTGAGGTCATTCCGTAGGTGGTCAGAGGGGAGAGCGCGCCTGGAGCCTTCCTGCCTCCATCCACTGGGGAGGGGAGAGAGGCGAGCAGGAGGGCGGGGAGAGGGGAAGGGGAGGGGCGCGCGGAGGGAGGGAGACGCCGCCAGCACACCACCAAGTGGCACCGAGCAGTGATAACAAACTCAACTTAAAAAAAAAAAAAAAAAGGAAAAGGAAAAAACTTCCCTAAGTTGCAGCCCGAGACGTGCGGACGTGCGGGCGGAGGCTCGGGGCGGGAAGTGTGGGTGGCCCTGAAGCCCCCAGGCGTCCCCAGGAAGCTCTCCCCCGCCGCAGAGAGCTCATACTTGAGGCCGACCAGGCCCTTCGCCCCTGGCTGGGCAGGAAATGTGCTAGAGGCTTGCTCAGCTTCCTGCAGGAGACCCCGGGGCGGCCGGTTCCCGTGGGGGACAGGCTCCTTTGGGGAAGATGGCCCCGAGGCGAGCAGTACTGGCTTCAACCCCAGCAACCAGCAGCCCCTTACCCCAACCCTGCTCCCACCCCTGGTCCTGCGGATGTGGGCAGATCTCAGCCTCCCAGGCCCAGCAGAGCTGGGATTTGCACGGGGGCAGGGGTCTCTTTCCACCTCCATCCTCCCTGCCACCTCCAGGCCGACTTGAAAACAAGGCACCACCATCCTCTATAATCGACTTTTTATTAAGATTATAAATTTAAACAATCTGAACAGTTTTACCCGGTGATGTACAATTCAGTATGCACAAAAATACAGGGGAATGAGGGAGAAGGGCCAAGAAAGGAAGGGTTGGCAACTTGTTTTGGAGTCCACATGGTGCTGATGGCAGAGAACCAGAGGGGCTGCAGAACCCCACCTTTTTACAACAAAAGGCTTTAAATTAAACAAAATCTATCGAGCTGAAGACACAAGACGGTTTCTCACAGGCTCGAACAATGCTGGTTTTATGAAACGCAACTGAAGGCTGAACCGGAACACCGCAACTTAGAAGCACACACACAAACACCACATTTGACCAGGAACTTAGTGAAAAGTCTCCAACGCAGTCGGCGGTCCCGGCCCTTCCCTCCCTCGGGGCCGCGGGGGATCCAGGTGAAGGAATCTACTTCCTTTTTTGTTTAGTGAGGACCGCAGTGCTGGGCATGATGGGAAATGTAGTCCGCGGTGCCCGCCCCCCACCCCTTCCCCAAACAGTGTCCGAGTGTCGGGGTGTCCGGCACCACCCCCGAGTCCAGGAGACGGATGGAGGAGGGGAGGAGAACGGAGCCAGAGGGGTGGGGAGAGGAGGGGTTCAAGACACCCGCCCCGGGAAGAAAAAAAAGTTTAAGTGTTTTCATTTCTGCCTTCTCATTTTGCGAACTTTGGAGGCCGCCCCCAGAGAGGAAATGTGACCCAAACGTCCCTTTCGGAGATAGAGTTTGCCTTTGTTTTTGCTCAGGATTTCACAAGACCCATTCCTCACCCCAAGGAGGGATTCGAGAGAACCGAGCGCCGGGCTTCCTGGGTCTGACAACTGATTGGGATCGGCGTCCCGGGCCCCGCGCCCTCCTGCGCTGCGCCCCCGGCGCGCCCCGGCGGCCCGGGCTCCCAGCCTCTCCCCCGGCTGCCCCGCACCTCCTGCGGGCAGCAGCCCTCCCTCACGTGGCTGGTTCCTCGCTAAACACCACTGCAATCACTACAATAAAAAGAAGAAAAAAAAAAAGAGTAGGAGAAACACAAAGCATACTTAAATAGGCGCTTTTTCTCTCTGCAAAAATAAAGTCCAAGATCTTAGATTTCTTTTTTTTATTTTACAATTTATAAAACATCAGCCGCCTCCCCCTGGTCGTCCCCAGCTCAGCCCCGAATGGCCGGGCGCCCGTTCCTTCCCTCCTCTCGCCCCTTGGCCGAGTCTTTGTCTGGCCCCAGCCCCGCGGGGCCCCGGGTCCCCGTGCCCTCGGGGGTCCCTAGAAGGCGACAATGGCTCGAGTCCAGGCGCCGAGGCTGGCGAGCGCCTGCTTGGCGCACAGCTGCCCGTTGAGCGGCGGCGGCTGCTCCGAGGAGTCCGGCTGTCGGCTCACCAGCCCCGAGAAGCCCGAGCCAAAGATGGAGATCAAGTTTGAGATGTTGGACGCGTCCGGGGACGAGTCCGGGCAGAAGTCCTCGAAGCGGGCGCGCTTGCAGGGAGCGAACGGGGCGACCCCGGGGGGCTCGGCCCCCAGGTCGCCCGCGTCCTCGTCGTCGTCGTCCTCCTCCTCCTGGCCAGGGTAATACTTGCGCTTGCAACCGGCAGCGGACGCCAGGCCCGGTCCCGGGGCGCCTTGGCCACAGCAGGGGCAGTGGGCGGAGGCGCAGCAGTCCTGGTGCAAGTAGCCGTTCTCCACCGTGGTCACCACGTGAGTGTCCAGGTCCAGCACGGTGGTCTGGCTGCTGCAGTGCACGCCGAAGTCCGAGGGGGCCGGGTATGCGCCCCGATAGAAGCCGGGGGAGGAGGCGGGGGCCGGGGAGGCG